CCTCAGAAGGCTTTATTTTACAATATTGTGGCGTAACTTATTTTGGAGAAGGTGAGGAGCATTTTTTTTTACTTTGATCAATCTTTTTGAAAAATAATTCAGCGCATCAGGTTCTCATTGTCGTGGCCATTGAATGTGTTTGTGGCCCATACAGTGGCTGGCGACTAATGGACCATGTGGCCTTTACAGTGGCTCCAGTGTACATGTCACTGTGTTTACCGTCTGACCGATCCCAAAGGAAGGATGGCTTGGCTGGCCAACTGGTTGGGGCTGAGTATATGTCCACCAGGAATTCGTTTCCACGACCGTACCTCAGGTAGCCGCGCCACATGACCCTATACGATCCTCACCTGACGACTTGTCGCCTTAAAAAGAGCTAAGCGAATCTTCTCCATCTCAATGGCATTCCAACATGACAAACATGCCTATCTCCTCCCACTCACATCAATAAAGATGCGTCCTTAAGGCGCCGTGCTTGGGAAGAACACTTTGTGACTCATCATTACTTCAAATATCCATGTTCTAGTGCTAGTTCCTTTCCCGTGATTGGATTCCTCGGTATGCCTCCCAATCTACTGTCAGGTAGCTCAGCCAAATAAGACGTTCAGCTTTGGATTTTGAGACCACTAATGAGAGGGGTCCATCAGAGTGCACCTTTCTTCCAAACTTCCTGCCCCGCCTCTACCTCTCCTTGTGACGCTGGAATAAGTTGTAGTTCTTCCCAGACCATGGATTTTCGAAATCTTCGGCGTCGGTTTTTTTGACAAACTCTTATTTCATCTCTTTCTTTTCCTTTTCTTTCAGAATACTGTAGCTCGGGATCCCTTTACTTCAGACACAAACATGTTTTGTTCCTTTTTCTTCGCCTCATACCTTGCAAAAAATGAAAGAAGTTAGCGGTGATGTTTGTTTACTTTGCTTGCGGTATTTAGTAGCCCATGTTTTCATTTCCGATTAGTTGCCTCTGAGTAGGTTAACGATCGAACTATTCCCAATTCTAAAACGTTCAAGTTCTATTTTCATCGAAGAAACCAGTTACNCTCTCACGCTCAAACCTAAACTGCTTACGGAATTCTGAGCGAAAGCTGGGTTTACGGCGCATCCTAAATCGTAGGATCAATTTTATTCTGTCAGTTATTTCAAACTACCTTTAGGTCATTCCCTCCTTCATTTCCCTTAACAACGACAGCGCTTTGATGACGTGACTTTACTATCTAGGGCTCTTCATTGTAAGCTGTCAGGCAAGGTAGTCATTATGAGGAAAAAGTGTGAAACATGCGTTCCTCGAAGTAGTTGAGGACTACAAAGTCTATGTTGAAAGTTTTCGAATGAACTCGTGCCCTATTATTCGGACTCCCCCCACTTATGCAGGCATTTTTGTGGGCCATTTTCGAGGAATGCGATTGGGAGAAGAGAGAAAGCCTTCTAAGAAGGAATAATTGCTGGGAGCTTTCTCACAAGCCGGAAGAAGCCCTGCAAAAATCGAAAGCCCTTGGCAACACATAACGTTCCGATACTCTCATGCTCTCCTTCGGGACTAATCAGATCCTAACTGGAATCACCGAAAAAGCTAAATTGCCGACATCCACGTCCTTCGTCAAAGTTATAAAATTTGCATTGAACAAGGGGTCGTTGTTTTTTAGAGATATCCCGACTGACCATAGCGATCAACTTTTATTTGTTGGAAGATCCCCGGGAAAAGAGTACCGTCGTTTATAAAATGAAGGAGGACGCCTATATCTACTACAGTATACTCGTTAGATTGCCCTGTCACCAATCGATCTTCGTAGGACCACTTTAATGGGAACTCCTGTCACAGATCATTCCCAATATGGAGTGGACGAGTTTTTTGACTAGCTAACCGAATGCATTTATGGAAACGAGTTTTATTTAATACAAGTCAAGTCATCAAAAAAGTCATAGGCATCAATGACAAGTACGTAACTAGGAAAATAGTTTTTATTAGAACTGTTCCATCGGAATAACTGCATTCTCGTTCCCTTAACGATAAAACTCATCGATTCGAATTCCTTTTGCATGTACCAGCGCAACAATACAATGCTGCTTCACATCCTTATTTATCTGTTTATTTATTTGTTTATTTACTTACTTATGATAGCACACAAAACTGCGCGCAAACCGAAGGCAAGGAGAAAACTGTACCTGCTCTTGACATAATACGTCATTCAGATGCCTCCCTTATAAGCTTCTCAGGACGACAAGCTTGAGTTATTGATCGAATTTGCGCTTAGCTTATGGGCGGAGTTATCCGGTACCGCCCATATTACTGATTGGTTCATGCAAATACATTGAGCAGACGATGTTTTGATTGGTAGCCTACCTTTTCCTGGAAGAAATGAATTCGCCATTCCCAAGGGAAAAAGCCTGTTGTTCTAGTATACGCCCACGCCCCCATGAGCCGATTCGATTGAAAGGTCGTCTGCACTGTCTGCTAGGTGGGAGTCGTCCCACAACACTGAGCTCTTCATATCTACCAGGATGATGAATGAGCCCTCGAATTGCCCATTTGATCAAGGCCCCAGCTCGAACACTATTTAGCATCTTTGTTTACTTCCATAGCACCAATAAACGACTTTGAACCTGTTCATGACTCAAGAACGAAGGCGGGTACGTGGCGCATTCCACCGTCTCCTGAAACGAAAATGGAATTCCTGTTGTCAATTGAAAAAACGTACGAAAATGCTACAACACAATGAACTCCATGGAATTCTCATTTCACATTTAAAAGGTCGTCAAAACGGAAGTAGTCATTCATCATTTGACATCGTCATCAACACGTAATGATCCCCCGACTGGGAAAAAGTCGCAACTATGAAATTCCTGAGCGATTAACGGTTTAGCAAATGTACTTTTGAACTTTTTCCATTGGAATGTTGTTCCCCGACTGACATGTACCAAGGTCATGAGAAAGGCAAGGAAGTAGACGTGTAACCGGAAACCAAGGGAACTCGGGGAACTCGGCCACTGACCCAACAAGCCCACTATTCTATCCGTGAGATTTCTGAGAATATACAGTCACTCAGAGGGCCGAGAGGACCTCAGCGGTTGACACTAGTAGTTGGACAGACTAAAGAACACAAGGAAAGGTCCCTTGCCTAAATCGATGCTTTCAAGAGTGCGCCATGCATATGACCACGATCAGAGGAATGCCCGGCGTTTGGGCTTGGGAACGACTTTCAGAAGCCAGCTCTGCTGACGTTCGTGAAATGGAAAACATCGTTCAGCCGATTACGATCTTACCCGATATTCGATCCCTAGTCCCCGGGGTAGACCCAGTTCCCAACTTTGAACTATTTCTACCTCATAGAAAAACTGAATCGTGAAACTGGTAAACCTTCGTGACCTCTTTCCCACAGCGTCCGTCTCCCACTTACACCTTTCCTTTCACGGGATTATTAAACGAATCTCTTGTGTCAACATCGCAACAATGGGTACCTTCTTTTCGAAGATTTCTACTTCCTCGTAATGCTCACCCACTTGTATTGGCTTCCCGAGTGAGCATTCTTGGGAGAACACCCATCCTAAGCTTTGTTGTTCGTTTAACGTGTGCGTAGAGTCTGTAACAATCGACCCGAATTCGAAATTACCTATTTTAGGCTTATCCCCGAGCACCTTAGAGTTAGACACCTCTAACGTGGCGAAGCGCCGACGACGCGGCGTATCCACCAATTGGACGGCGAGTATGGCCAATGGAACAGGACAGTTATATACGACGTGCTGCTGTTATAAAGGACCACGTAATTGTGAAAAGTAAACGGTAAGTAATACCCACATACTATAGTGATTACCGTATGCCCGGATGGGAGATAACCAGCTGACTGACGGGTGGCCCAGGCAGCCCTGGCTGCGTCAGGTGACCAGAGTCACGGGGCGGGTGTGGCGCGGGGCAGAGACGCAGAAAATGGCATCGATTCCTCGGCGGGGACCACCAGCGCAGCACACTGCCTCGTAGCAGCCAGCAGCAGCTCGTCCTCCGTCCCGGGGTCCATCAGGGTCGTCTCATGGAGCTCTGTGAACTGCAACTATATCCTGAGGACGATACTTGGCCATCTGATATCGATACACGTATCGCACAACTCGATTTCGGTGGTGATTCGGCTTTATTCGCTTCAAGTTCCGTTAGTACTGATTCCTTGGATTCGGAACAATTACGGGAACGATGTCGTCATCGAACCGAAGATTTCCAATTAACATTTGCCGATTCGGGACATTGGCAAAGTGGCCAACTTACCACGTGGGGACGAATTCGTTCCACTGAACCGCTTGACGAAACAACTGCCAGGTAATCCCATTCGCTACTTGATGTTTGTCGTTTAATTTCCTCTTTTGAAGTTCCTCAATTTTTGTAAAAGTCTTTAGTTTGAAGGGTTTTCGTTGCCTTTATCCAAGAATGTTACTGCGAAGTCGATATCTCTATGTAAATTGTTATCTGGATTCCGGGGATTTGGATGTTTGGGAATTTATCGGGCGTGACGTCTGTATTTGACGAATACCCATCGGGCGCTGCATTCCTGCCCTGGAGCCGTACCCCACTCTTTCCGGCAGAGGATGGGTATGAGTGTTCATTAAATTTGACAGGCGTCGCCGTCGAATTCCTTTACTCTCGCGATGGTGCCTATGCAGTTGCCCATGTTAATTTATTGGGCACCCATTTCTGTCCCTTGTGGGAACTATGATCCTTTGTCTCAGATCATGTGACCTGACTTTCCTTATACGCGAAACTGGTTCATGGTTCGTAGAACCTTTCCGGCATCCTCTTTTTGGTGGCTGTCGGTTCCTTCTTTCCTTCCAGGCCTGGCCCACAAGGTCGCAGACAAATTTGGTCTCACTGCGCTCCTCATGCGCTGTGTAATTTCTAAACAGTGTAATATTAATCATACAAGTATCCTTTTTCAGTGCACCAAACGTGGTAACTCGTCCACCCACAACACCATCGACCACAACCAGCAACCAACGTCCGACCAGTCTTCTGGCGAATTTTGTTGGCCGCGACCTTGAGAATGGCGGCGGTGTCGGTCGTTACGTGGACGTCAACGATAACGAAATCCAACTTGAAGCGACGAGCGCCTCCACATCTCAGGACCGTTGGCGAGCCGCTCGACCGGCGGCGTCGTCAGCTCCGACGAGCGGTGGCGGTTTCGTCCGCACGTCGGCGCCGGCGAAACCACGTCGAACGTTCGCCGATCTGCATAAGTCAATCGCACCCGAGCTGCGATTTCTCGCTCTTCCGCATCAGGTGAGTGTCCCCGTTTGTCAGGAAGCTGTCTAGCTGACTTCACACTTTACACCTGTATGAGTTTGTTTTCGTGCAGATTCCAACATTATGTGAGTCGTCGACGATGTCGTTGAGTGACGTGATGCTAAAAGTCCAACGTGAGGGCATGCCTCCATTGACGTCCGACCTCGATTTACCATTACCATCGTTGCTTCAGGCAAGTTCCACATATGTTTGTGAACCCGTCTAGTACGAGCGTTTTACACTGAGGGCAATGAATAAAGATCCCATCGTGCGCCGCTTTTGTCCTAACTCTATTGCATCATCGATTCATGAGGGGTGTGCGATTTTCCCGTGCGAAACGGCTATACGTCCCAAATGGGAGCGTTTCGTTTTGTAATGATTGCCATTAATATCGACGGCCATTAATATCGACGAAGTGAATAGTTGTGTTGTACTGTTCCGCAACATTCCGCTGCATTCTTTTTTTTTCTCTTTTGACCTGAAAGAGACATTGGGAACGCACCATTAAGTCTGTTTTTTATAGTGAACGCTACGATTGAAAAATTCCGATGTCTCATTTAGTTTCTTGATAGTTAAGGTTGTTTTACTCTTAGGTATCGCTCTCAGTTGTACTTTTGACGAAGGCCCATACAACAAATCAAGTTTGTAATCCAGGTTCTCTGATTCACCCTTTTCATTTTAGGAAGATTCTCCAGATTCTGGCCTGGGTTGCAGTGGACCAGCGCACATCGAGGACTGGGCCTCGCTATCGATTTTGCTTCCAAAGTAAGTTCTACCATTACACTACCATTTCTCCTTCGATTTTTTCTTGTTTTCATCTTTTTTCCTACCGTCTCTCTGCGTCACTGTCGTCATAATTGCCCATTCGTGTTCCCACCCTCCCACGTTTTATGTCTTCAACCGGCTCCTTCCTATGTATTGATTTTGCATTCAGCGCGCTCGCTCACACGCTCACTTGCCTCGGGGCCGTAATTGCGTGTCCCATGTGGAATGTGAATGTGTGACGTGTTGTTTAATAGATACGCCAGTTGTATGTTATTCTTTCGAATGCCGGGGGGAGGAATGCTCGTAAATATAAAGTGTAGCAAGCCTACGTGTTTCTGTGCTTCTACGGCTGAGTCAAGTAATAAATTAGGACGACTGGCGGCGTAGTACGACCAGCGTTAGGTAAAACAAATGTCAATGTACAAATCCATTTATTCACCAAGGGCCCTATCCAGCTATTATTTATGCACCAAAGGCTCTATCAAGCTGTCTAGGTTCTCTTAAACCCGGTATTAAGTTGATCCTTGAAAAGGGCTGGAATTGGTTCTGCGCCATCTTCAGCATTAACAGATACCTACCTATCATCGGAAATATTGTATAGGTTTCTTTTACGATTCAAAAAAGCCGTCTTTCTTTGTGTGGTCTTAGGTGTCATCTTTATTTATCCACACGTCAATCTACTGTTATCCAAGGCCAAATAACGTAGATATGCCGACCGATGTGAGTAATGTTGTTGGCAGTCGGCTTGTTTTGGCTACTGAGTTGGAGCGCATATTGAAACAGCTTAGGGGTTTTATGTTCATGCATAGGTTTAATATTCCTTATCTTGTTGAGTTAGGGAGCCGGCTGGTCATGAAGCTAGTTCCCATGACCAGTCACTCAAGGTCGTGGGAAATTAGTCCGGTAATGGACCTGAACATCTCCATGTTGAAGGAGGTAAACACTTATCGCTCTCTTTGATATTCGCTCTTATTCAATTGTCTCGTTACCTCATGCTATTCAAAACAACGAGGTCTGGCCACAGGTCGAGCTTGATCCATTTGTGTTGTTCCAGGGGAAACGATGAATTTCCTTTTTTTAGAGTCATCGTCTACCATACTTGCTAGCCTGGCAGGCTTCTAACCCAATAGCTCCTCCTTCTTTTCTTCTTTTCAGTCTTATTCCTCCTCTTTTTCTCTTCTTCCCCATTTACCTAGGATCATTACGAACTGGTTATTTGTAATTTCCTCATATGTTCGTTCATGCGGTGACAGTAGCCCGATGTCAGCAGAAACGACAGGAATGTGCGACGAAAAAGTATGCTACGTGGCAGGGTGATGTGATAATAAGGCCTTGTCGCCAGTGAATCATAGTCTGCCTTTTTATTGCATTGTTGTCTGAACTAGTGTATAGTAACTAGCTGGGTCTTTGAAAGAAGGCAAGGTTACGGTGACAGCGAAAGCTTTTCAGGTCTTACGCAGCTCGCAGCCCAAAATCCTGTCCTGGAGTTCGAGTATGCTTAAGGTTGTACAAGGGCAATTGTTCTTCTCATCCATATCATGAGTACTATTGAGATGATTCATATTCTATGCTCAAGGGTTACCCAAGGCCATTATTTCCTGCAATCCATCAAGGTGCTTTTTTGTCCAATAGCATCGAAATAAAAACGAAGGATTGATTCATATCTCCCACTTGATCATCAAGCGTAGCGTTTTACTGCGGGATAATGGCTCGTAAAACTTTGTGGTATTTCATACAAATGTCCTCCTGCAGAAAAATGCCGGTGGTGCCTCAAATATCATCGATTAGAATCTCCACTTATTGATTTGAAAACCATCTGGGAAGGATTGCTTCGGCAGGTCTGCCGACGTTTCAGTCTCGTTTCTCGGTGTTCTCCTTTTCCCAGGTGAAGTAAACAACAATAAATCGCAGCACTGTGTGTAAACACAGCACTGAATCTGGTTTCTGCTTGAGCTTTATTGGATTTGAACCCGTTAGTTCCGCTTATTGACTTTGAATAACGTTGTTTGACTTCTCGTTCATTGTGTATTCAATCAATGTCAGAGTTGGGGATGTTCGATTGAGATCGCCCCTGTAGACGAGTTTTTCAGCTATGAACGGGCGTATTGATCAATAGCCTCGGTGTTTTTTCCACTCCCCCCATCCCTGCCTACACTAGTATTAGCATAGCCCGCTCCCAAAGAAATTGAAGCGATTTTTCATGGAACTGCCCAACGGAAGAAAGATGAATCATCCCCAGGCGGTGGCTTTAGGGATTGCTCCGAAGTTGTCTCTTTAAGCGACAGCCATTCCTTATTCATTGAGACAGTTGAGGTGTTTCGTAAGCGGGACGTCGATTTGCCCTGCGTCTAATTCACTCCCTTGAGTCGTCCCATTGGAGACTGTGGCTGGTGGTTGATGTGGATTGCGGCGGATCGGGGGCTTAGCCTATGTGCCACGCAATGACAGCCGTCCAACCAAAGCGGCTGTTCTGCCGCACTCAATCTCGTATCCGGAAACCGGAGAAGTTGATTATATGTTCATGTGTAAACACCACTACACCGCACGTGGGAGAATCGCAAAGCGACAACAAGCACCTCGTGAGATCCCGTTTGGGATCGACTTTTGGGATTGGGAATCGGAACCATTGATTTCGATTTTAGTTCCCCTTCGTTCCTCTCAATCACTGGCTACAGAATGAGATCAAGCGAGAGTTTTTCTCTTGAACGGCATTGCATTTTTATTGGGGAACTTTTCTGAAAAAGGACCGGTCATTAATTCCGAATGATTGCTGATAACCATTTAGGCTCCCCTTCTGACATCCTAATTCAGGCCTTTCGCGGTTTTTTTCCTCTCCATACCGGTATTAATAAAAACTTTCGAATGTCCTAAAGGGCAAGGCCGTTCAAGATGTTCGAAGCGTTCTTGTCACTTTCGCTATAAAAACGCTATTCGCAAAGTGAGAATGAATGATGAAACTCAGAGAGGAAACCATAAGGGCAAGGCCTTCAGCGTCCAGGGATTCCTTTCGCATTCTTCCGGAGGTTGCCTATTTTTGAATCGTTTCCACGAATTCAGCGGATTCCGAGTAATGAAGTGGTTGGTTAGTTTCAGTGTGTTTAACTATTGCCCAGGGTGAAGTTCCCTTGAGTTATCTAGTTAGCAGCATAGAAATTCAAGCTGTCACGAGGATGGCACTGAGCCATTGGGCCCATCGATCAAGTTGGCGCAACAGCAGTGCCTTCTGCCGGTTGTATGACACATTTCAGTAGTGCTTATCAGTTTCAAATGATACAGGCTTCCCCATGACGATCTTCAGGACACTTTTACGACCGGGGCAATATTCGAATGTGTTCTCTGAGTCACTAATTTTGGAAGGGTCTTTACTGCCTTTTCCGGAGGGTTTAAGAACAGCTACAGGAAAGTATGTCATTACATAGGTTTTTTGCTGGCCGGCAACTTACAGCAGGAGACAAAGAGTGTGGCTGAACCCCATGGAGCGTTATTCATTCTCAGTTGTTTACCTCTTGAAGTGACCATAATCCCTGTGAAAAATGATGGGGCGAAACCCCGCCGCAGGGCTTCCGTTCGGCCTCCGAGGAGCTTAATGTGAAGCGGAAGCTTTTTTTTTNTTTTTTTTTTGTTTCGGAGAGCTTAGCTTGGGGCAAATGCGTTTCTGCTTTGGGATTGTCAAGAGATCGAATGGCAGCTTTGTATTTCCTAAAGAGTCGCTTCCTAAGGTCTGTCTCATGCTTCCCAGCGGAGAGAGCCTAAAAGTTTCTAAATTTGGTGGTTTTCCTTTGCTCTTTTCTTTTAGTACCCTTTCGACATTATGGTGCTTTTTCTATAACTGGAAATGGGCACAGAAGAGGATAATGGGTCACGTAGTCCGATTGCGTGCGAGAATAACTTGAAATCTTTAGAGAAAAGGGCACGTTTCCGTTCTATCGCAGCACATTCAGTGAATTGTTATTTTTGTCTTGAAAAATCTCGTCCCATGGGACCATAGGGCCAGTTTTAGTCGTCATCGTGAACTTCATCCTGGTAGCTACGAAAGACAGTAAATGAGTGTGATCTGTTGTTTATTTCCGAATGTTGCAATCTTCTTGCATAGTGACGACTGCCACTGCCTAGGGACATTTTTAACTCCCTAGGGTCTATTTATAATCTGTGGAAAGAGTTTTTTAACTCGTTTTCCTCCTCCTTCCTGTTACGAGTCCTGTTTTCATGAATTCTCAGCGTGATTTCTTTTCCCGGCACCGCTCGATACATTAGATTTCAGCAAACAAGTTGCATTACGTAATCGAATTCCTTTTTTTCTTCCCTTGTAAGTGAATTCGCTTTCCTTCCTTCCTAAGATACAAGAAACATCCTTTTCCTTTGGAATTCTTTAAATATCACTTTTTACAGGCACGTTGCCGAGGCATGTTCATTCTTCAAGTCGAACGCTCAGCTATTAAGTTCTTCATCGTCACACTCCAATTGTATCGAACGAAAACGTACCGAACCGTGTAGGACGTGCTTCCGAGTGCGTAGAAGGTGAGTGGAATTGGAGGCTTCTCGCTGCCTCCCCTCCATAGCCGTTCGGCGTCCATTCGTACCAGGCGCCCTACTATCTTAATATGCCGTACGTTTAGAATACATCCGCCGAATTGGGCTCATTCGACCGCATCGCGTCATGTGTTGTGCGACTGCTCACCGGATCGACCGGAGACATCACACGAGCTTATGCCAAGGAGTAGAAGGTGTTTACTATTCAATTTTGAGATAAAATTGTGGGAAAGGAGGGTAACCGTGGAGAAATTTGCTTGGCTGTTCTCTTCTGTCCCACAAAACACCTTACTGGATGAGTTGATGATTAAGGTGTTGCTGACCCTTCAGACTAATCTGCCACTCTGAGTTTGAGATAGCGAGATGTGAGGCTGGGAGGGAGTCGTGGGAGACATTGAACAGGACAACATATGGTCTGGAGCTTGGGAAGGTCATCGGGAGAACCAGTCTTTCACCATACGACACTCTGCTCGCAACTGATCCTGTTACTGTGAATTAAGCTTTTTGGTTTGATTTCCCCTATTGGAAGATGAAGATGAGCGATTTTTCCCCAAATGTATAGCACCGACCCAGTCTGGTCAACACAAGGTATTAAAAGCTGGTTGTAATGAATCCCACGAAATTGCCTATCTGTCACGGCTGGAGGAGAATTATTGACCATAATAGCCATCCGAGTGGAGGTAATTGCCAATCGCATTACCATTTGTCACGATCACATGAGGTCAGCCTCAATATCCGATTTCGGAGATGCTATGACAGAATAGGATTCCTGGATCAAAGACGGAGTCTGGTTGGAGATGATTGAGGAAGAAAAAACCAATTGAAAGGATTGATGTGATTCCAAGAGAGAACTGATCGAAAAGGGACCAGTTGGGGAGCACACGGTCTAAACCTCGTTACGATTTTCCAGAGCAGAACTCCTCTAATCCCGCTTTTGAGCAGTCTTGTTCTCGACAGTAGAAGTTCAGGTTGGGCAGCTACTCAACTAGTCAACTTGCGCGATTCTCCATGATATTATTGCCATCATCCTCTTTAGATGAAAAACATCTTTGGTCCCTGCTCGTATGGACTGCCGTCCTTCAGCAAGGCGATTAATAAAAAGCCGAGAGGATCGTCTGTCGAAAATGCCTTTGTGCGGCTCCCTGATGGGTTTCAAGGTGGAAAGTGTCTGGGAAAATGAGCGCAAAAATCGTCTCAGCTACTGAGTAGGAGGCGGCTAATGTTCTAGACGATTGAGAAAACGCGTGAAGGGTTTGGAATAATAGCTCCCAAGAGATTGTCATGCCCAACCCGAAGCCATTTAATGACACATTAGAGACGTCCAGGGTACATGAACGGAGTAACAGATGAGTACGAAGGGATTTTGATTGAGTTCAAAAAACGCGAGAGGAAATTGTAAGACGCCTTAAATCACGCTTGTTGTTACAAAAAGGGTATTGAATTACAGATGCCATTAGCCCCGTAATTTCCTGTAGAAGCTTCATGAATGAGTCCGTACCTACAAACAGCTCATTTCAGGTCCTCTGGTAGTCAGCAGATCCGAGCGCGAGAATTGTCTGTGGTTGGTTTACCGATCTACTCGACAAAACGTTCATTAGTTGAAGCAGTCGTCGATGCTGTCGCAGCCATCGCCCGAGGCGACGAGCCAAATTTGTTGTTCACCGCTTTAGCAGCGTTGGTATCCGATGGACTGAAAGATGACATCTCCTCGTGGAGTATGATACGCACCGTTACTGCACCAGGTATGTTCTATCCTTGAGAAAGTATTTATGAGTTGTAAACAGTAATTCATCCGTTGCAGGCCCTGCCACGAAAGACGTTTATTCTATCGTGAACAAATTGGATTCGAGCGAGAAGTCCGAAAATTCTCGTGTTGAACAGTTTTTCGAAGAGCTTTTTAGGCGAGTGCAGTGGTTGCTAAACTAGCTTCATCATCGTTCGCATTGCTTGTGTCGTTCTAATTTTTGCCTTCCTTTTTTCCTTAGAGTGCAATCCAATTTTGTCTTCTTTTCAGGGAAAATTCTCTAGATTGCTGGTTGTGTTACGTTATTTTGAAGGAGAACGTCCTCCGTCGTCTTTATTCACCAGGCAGCTTTCTATTGGACGCTCCCACGGCTTATCGAACGCTATTATGGCGGCTTGTCGACGCGCTTGCCCTTATTCCAGGTCAGTAGTTTTCCCAATTCTGGGTTTTAAATTAGAGAGCAACTCTGCTAATCTGATATAGATCAAAGACAGGGCGTAATCCAATTATTGTATTAGCTACTATCGTAATTAAGGTCCTTCGCCCCGTAGGGTTTTCTTTTTGGGATTAGGTAGGAATTCACGGGTCACGAATCAGGATGGTTCCTAGTTTCATGAGCTTAATTTTCCCTATTTTGGTTAGTTCATAGTTGTTTATGTTTTACAGTGTTAGAGGTTCGAGAATGCTCACAACCACATCATACGCAATCGATGCTCTGGAGTGGTCCATGTAGACTACCGGCCGATTCGCGAGTTCCAAAAAGTTCGTCAGTACCGGCCCGATTGTCGAATTCACATGTTCGAAACCAGAGACGGTC